GGGGGGCAGCAGGGTGAGTCGGGGGGCTGCCGTGCCCCCCTGTAGGGTCAAGAACTGGGGATGATGTTGGTGTCCCCTGCAGGGATCCCAGTGCCTGCCCCAGGACCATGATCCCCTCCAAGGAGAAGGCCAGGGCCCCCAAGGACAGCATGACACTCCTGCCCTGCTTCTACTTTGTGGAGGTGGGTGTGGGGCATGGGGGGCCCTGCTCGGGGTCCTATGCCCGGGTATATGGGGAACAGGGGCTTTGCCCCTTCCCGGCAGGGCCCGCGGTACTGGGAAATGTGGGGGTCCCAATGCTCTCCCCCTCCCCAGCTGCCCATTGTGGCCTCCTCTGTCGTGACACTCTATTTCCTGGAGCTGACGGATCTCTTCAAGCCAGCCAAGGTGGGTTTCCAGTGCCACGACCGGGCGCTCTCCATGCCCTATGTGGAGACCAACGAGGAGCTCATCCCGCTGCTGATGCTGCTCAGCTTGGCCTTCGCCGCGCCCGCTGCCTCGGTGCGTCCCAGGGGTAGAGCCAGGGCTGGGGGTCCCGCTGCCAGCAGCAGCCCCGTGCCAGGGTGCTGGGAGCCTGGCAATGCCCTGAGCCGTGGGCTCCTCCCCAGATCATGGTCGGGGAGGGCATCGTGTACTGCCTGCAGTCCAGGCTGAAGGGCCGTGCTGGGGCCGAGGGCAGCATTAACGCTGGTGGCTGCAACTTCAACTCCTTCCTGCGCCGGACTGTAAGGTTTGTGGGTACGTTCTGCCATGGCTGGGTGGGGGGGACACAAGCCCCCGGGATGCCACTGCAGGAATGGGCCCAGACCTGTCCCAGTGCCTGTGGGTGCCCCGGGGCTGGGTGAGGGACAGGGGGTGGCCCACTGTCCTGCTCCTGCCATCCCCAGGTGTCCACGTGTTTGGGCTCTGTGCCACGGCCCTGGTGACAGATGTCATCCAGCTGGCCACCGGCTACCACGCTCCCTTCTTCCTGACTGTCTGCAAGCCCAACTACACGCTGCTGGGCACCCCCTGTGACACCAACCCCTACATCACCCAGGACATCTGTGCAGGCACTGACAAGCACGCCATCCTGTCTGCCAGGTATGTGCCAGGGGTGACACCCGTGCCATGATGCCACCCCCTGCCCCATCCCAACCCTTCCCTCCTGTCCCCCTGCAGGAAGACTTTCCCATCCCAGCACGCGACGCTCTCAGCTTTCGCTGCCGTTTACGTGTCGGTGAGTTCCCGGCACTGCCCCCCCAGCATGTGCCAGCTCGTAGCCAGCATTGTCCCCCTCCTCTGGCATAAGCCTCCTGTGCACAGATCAGCTCTGCCAAACACACATGTGCTCATGTTGGGGTTGGTGTGTGCCCCCCCTGCGGGCACCTGCAGCTCCACAGCACCAACAGCTCTGCACAGCTGGGTGGGGGAGGCTGTGGTGCCGTGATGGCAGCAGGTGCTGGTGCCACAAGCAGTGACTAACAGCTGGTTCCTGCCCCCTCGTCACCAGATGTATTTCAATTCCATCATCTCGGACAGCACCAAACTCCTCAAGCCCATCCTGGTCTTTGCCTTTGCCATTGCTGCCGGCATCTGTGGCCTGACACAGATCACCCAGTACCGCAGCCACCCCACTGATGTCTACGTGGGATTCTTGATCGGCTCTGGCATCGCTGCCTACCTGGTGGGTGCTGGTCACCTTAGCACGGCCACGGTGGCTCGGCAGGGAAGGGTGCTCAGCACGAGCTGGGGTCCCTGAGGCCGCGCTGACCCTGTGCTGCCCCTCCCACAGGCTTTCCATGCTGTTGGCAACTTCCGTGCCCCAATGGAGAAGGTCCCAGTGACAGCGCCAGCCAAGGACGCGCTGCGGGCGCTGACACAGCGCGGCCACGACTCCGTCTACCACCAGAACAAGTCTGTGAGCACTGACGAGCTGA